AGATGGCAGTCCACGCTTTTATCATTTCATGCTTAGATTAGTGCAACTCATTATATTGCGGTCCCAAATTACCCGCCTACAATTGGTCCAAAATGCTGTTGCTAGATTTCTTCAAAATAGTCACAAATGTGACCACATCACCCCTATACTGAGGACCTCCATTGGCTGCCTATTCAATTTAGAATCGATTTAAAAATTCTCTTACTGGTGTATAAATCTTTACATAATCAAGCCCCTAGTTATCCGTCATGGTGTGCCTAGTCCTGTGTACACAGGATTGACATTACTCCCCCCTCCCGGAAGGCGCGTCCACGAGCCCCACATCATCCAACGGGAAGGAGGGGTGGGCGCTCTGGAGGCCCATATAAATCTTTCCATAATCAAGCCCCTAGTTATCTGTCATGGTGTGCCTATGGTGAGGAGCGAGGAACAAGGAGCAAGGAACGAGGAGAATGCAGGAGAATCATAATCAACAGTCTTTATTGACATCTAGGAAATCACATGTAGGACACGGGATTGACATTCAAGACAGCACACTGGACTCAGGAAACACAGGGCTTAAATATACATGGAAACTAATGAGGGAAAACCTTGAAACAATGATCATAAAAAGGACAGGAACAGGAAGGACCAAATATGGGCAAAGAGGAACACGGGGGAAAACCATGACATGGAGCACATGGGGGCGGAAAACACAAGACACAGGACTGACATGGACGGACCCCTACTACCCCCCCTCAAAAAATCATTGGGGAGAATGTCGGTTTCAGAGGCCCTCCGTAGGCCTAACTCGGGAACGGTGGCCCTCCCTGGGCTTGACTTGGGAACTGGAGCCCTCCTTGGGCTGGACGTGGGAACTGGAGCCCTCCTTGGGCTGGACATGAGGACTGGAGCCCTCCTTGGGCTGGACATGAGGACTGGAGCCCTCCTTGGGCTGGACATGGGGACTGAAGCCCTTTCTGTGCTAGACTCGGAGACTGGAATCCTCTCTGGGCTAAAATCGGGGACTGGAGCCCTTTCTGTGCTAGACTCAGGGACTGGAATCTTCTCTGGGCTAAAATCGGGGACTGAAGCCCTCTCTGGGCTAAACTCGGGGACTGGAACCGACACTGGAGCGAGCTCTGGGGCTGGATCAGACACTGAAGCGAGCTCTGGGGCTGGATCAGACACTCGAGTGAGCTCTGAGGCTGGGATGAGGGCGGAGAACAGTCTTTTTCTCCTCATCCTCTTCCTCTGGTTAGAGGTGAACGGTGCGACAGGTGGGCTTGACATTGGCGTGGCCGGCGGGCTTGACTGAGGGAACGGCCAGCGGGCTTGGGAATGCCGGCGGGCTGGTTCTGGCTCGGGGCCAGACGCTTTCCAGACACCGTAGCATCCCTTCCCTCCAGCTTAGTTCCGTGGTGTCTGGGAGGTCCACAGGGCGATGGTAGTTGGCCCCGTGCCAGAACAGAAAGTTGATGGTGGCGTCATCTAATGCCATTGCCGCGGCGAGCCCCCAGAACTCCCTCGCATACTCAACGAAGGGGAGATCTCTACGGGCTAGGCATGCCGCTTCATGTTTATGGTGTTGTATTTGGTCACGGTGTGCCTACGGTGAGGAGTGAGGAATAAGGAGCAAGGAACGAGGAGAACGCAGGAGAATCATTATCAACAGTCTTTATTGACATCTAGGAAATCACACGTAGGACAAGGGATCGATGTTCAAGACAGCACGCTGGACTCAGGAAACACAGTGCTTAAATACACCTGGAAACAATGATCATAAAAAGGACAGGAATGGGAAGGACCAAATATGGGCAAAGAGGAACACAGGGGAAAACCAGGACATGGAGCAAGTGGGGGAGGAAAACACAAGACACAGGACTGACATTATCTCTCAGAGCTGTTGCATTTTTATGCTCCCACTAGAAGTCTAAGATCCAGTGATCAGAAACTCCATTTAGTCCCTCAGTCCAGACTTAAACGTAGAGGGGATCAAGCTTTTTCTGTGGCTGGACCTCGGTTATGTAACAATCTGCCGTTACAGATTAGAGTGGCACCTTCCCTATCTATTTTTAAGTCCCTTTTAAAAACACACTTGTTCAACCTGGTCTACTAATATCTCTTTCTCATTACATTGAATTATGGTCTTGATTATTACTCTGTCTTCAGAATGCTTATCTTTTAAATTTATATGTTTTATTATTTATTTTTTTATGTGTTTATGGTTACATTTTTTGGTCTGTCTTGTGGCTGTTTTTAAATGTACTCTATAAATAAATGAACCTTGAACTTTGGCATACACATAACACACTATCACATTTCTAAAATTAATTAGGTCAACCGGAACGGGGAACACTTCCCATAACACCCGATGTTCTCGTTACATCGTAAGAAGAATGGCATCTATGCTAATATTAGTCTGTTTAATTCTTATCATGTGGTCACCGTAGCCACCCAGATCCAGTCCATATCAAGACAGCCCTGAATGTCAGTGAAGACCTCATCAACTAGACGGCGATCGGGACAAGACCATGGGAACCAGAAAAGTCCTCTGCACAATCTGACCTGTGTTACAGCCTGGAATTAAACCATTCCATGCTGGTTTTGTCTGGCCAGAGGATAACGTGACCCCCCGACTGTACCTGGTTTCTCCCAATGTTTTGGTTCCATGCCACTGTCAGCTTTGGCTTGCTTAGTTGGGGATGCTTAATTTCTGGCAATATTGTCAGCTTGATTGCACAGACATTACTGGAAGAGAGCTGAACTGAATGAGGACATCACTGAATCATCAATGAACTGACTTTAACCGAAAGTCTCTACTGACTGCAGTTATCAGTCACTCTCTATTTTTTTAAAGTAATGAAAACACTATCATTGAGTTTTTCTTTTGCTATTTGCAAATGGGAATGCAAAAAATATATTTGTGGTAGTCTCCCTGTCATGAATTCGGTCCATGGACTTTCATTCATTCACCACCGGAGGTCACACATCATCACATTTACACAAACTGTCACATCTCTCTACGGACTACATTTCCCAGAATCCATTTCACTACTCTGATCATGGACTCACCTGCAACCAATTACACACACACTATAAATACCGAATAGCTGAGCTGATACAAATGTATCCGCACCTGTACAATTGCTCGCGGAGATACTTTTTGGAGAAGGCATTTAATTCCTGGAAAGAAATTGCAATGAAGCTTGGTGTTGATAACCCGGAGTTATGCAATGCGACGTCGAGAAACATCCGAGACAAGTTTTCCAAAGCCATGAAAAGAATGAAAGGAAAGATTGGAGATGAGGCGGCAAGTACCAAAGAACCCAAGCTGTTTTTGGAGATGTCCTGAGGGACATTGCTCAAAAGTAGAATTAAGAAAGCCAGGATAACAGAAAAGGTGCGGCTTGACCTAGTTTAATCAGCGCATCCTGGCTTAGTCCGTTGCACGTTTGCTGAGCCAGGATGACAACGTGCAGCTATGTCAAGCCAGGTGTATATAGTTGGGATAAGTGCACATTCACAGCATTCTTAAACAGACCACGGGATCGATCACAGAATCAATGATGCAAAAATGGATAAAACCCGGCCAACTGAGCAACAGCTTCTAATGGAAAAATATGAAGAGGTGAAACATATGTAAAAAGGGAAATACAGCTGCCATAATAAAACAGAGAAAAGGCCTGGCAGACAATAGCGGACCGATTGAATGCGCAAGTAGTCCAAATAACCAGTGCTCCACTGAAGCCATCATAATTACAATTCAAGGAGTTATTTGTCATTTCCACAAATTAACAGTTGTACACTTTGCCTTAAATGTGACCAGTGGACATGCATGTTACTCATGCAAACACATGTATGATTAATTGCAAACACTTTTTCACTATGCCCATCCATCCATTCAAAAGAACAAGCATTTCTGGCCAAAAAAGGACCTGGCAGCAAGTCAAGATTGAGTACAAGAACATTTTGCAGGCTGGTAAGTGACTTGATGGGTGAATTTTTTTTTTTTTTTACAAATTAGGTGAATAGTGTCTGCTTTTTTTTTATGTGGACTGTCTGACTTTGCCTTCCCTTGCAGTGTCTGGTAACACACTTACACTTCTGGAGCCACCAGACTATGATCCACCGGTGAGTACTCTTTATTAAAATCATAGGCTTGGCACATCCTGTCAAAACTATCAATACAAGTTCTATTGAATATGGCAGAGGGAAGCAGTGGAGTGCACTTCTGCCGATGATGAGACGGTGTTGCTGGACTCCAGAAGGCTTGAGGTGTCATGTCAATTTTGTGTAAATTTGTCCATAATGGATAAGTAGTCAGCAATGTGATTTCTAATAGAACATATATTTTTAACATGATCCAGACACTGTGCAGCCTAGTAACATAGTGAGTATTGCCTACACTGGGTCAGCTGGACAATCAGAGCAAACTGCGCTTGTCGGAAGGAGGGACTTTGTAGAAAACGAAGCGTTTGAGAGAGGCGGGGCATAGAGTACCTACAATAATGTACAGCATTTGAAAAATAATGTGTTTTTTAAACATTAAAGCATGTCAACATATTCTGTTACACCAAATACACAAAATAATGATCTTTAAAAAAGTAAATCATATGACCCCTTTAAGAGACATAAAGCTTGCAGAGGGCAAGATCCAAGTGAACAAGAGAAAGCTGCATGACATGGACCTTGAGATGGAAATTAAACGCAAGTCACTGAGGAAACTGGACTTGGAAATCCAGAAACTAGAGAGAGAAGTGATTTCAGTTCACACTGCAACCATGACTGCACAATGTATTAATCATCGTTATTTTTTCTCTCAAAAGCTCCAAGCTGACAAGTGATGACAGCAAAATACAAAAACATTGTGGTCTCGTACCTTTTTCATTAATGTCCAGTAGACTATATAGTTATTGAGCCAGTGAATTGGAACTAGAATTTGGGAAGATAACTACACAGTGTGTGCTACTAATGCCAAACAAAATGCATGCACACATGAAAGAGTGACATACATTATGCTTTATTAAAGGATAGGCAAAACAAAATTAACTGAAATAATTTATATTGTTCTCTGACCAGTCTACCATTTATGTTATCTGGGAAGATGGCAGCATTGTCCCAGTCAATATCCAAAGCAACTCTGGGAGCCCTTTCTTTTCTTAGGCTGGCAATATTGTGCCGCACTGTGCAGGCAACAGTCACGTCACAGGCCCTGTCTGGGGAGACCCTCAGGTGGTGCAGGCACTGAAATCGTGATTTCAGGAGGCCGAAGGTCATTTCGATTTGAGCCCTCATTCTGACATGGGCACGGTTGTGGCATGGGTCAACAGGAACGTCTCACAGGCATAACCTTTGTCTCCTAGCAGCACACCAGAGAACTCACCTGAGAATACAAAATATAATTCTTACAACTAGCAGAGTAAAACTTCTGACACACACATGATGTCCAAGGTGCTTAAAAAAATTGGGGTGGCTTACCTAGTGAGAGTCTCTGGTAAATTCTATTGGCCCGAAAGGCTCTTGAGTCATGGACCGAGCCAGGCCACATTACCTCTAAATTTGTGATAAGGCAGTTAGCATCACAGATCATCTGTAACAATAACATGTAACCTATTAAGGTCATTTAATGCACAGAAATAATTTATGTAGCTCACAGTAACCATAAATCATTCTTACCTGAACGCTGATACTGTGGAAAGATTTCCTGTTAACAATCTCTCTCATGTGCCCCTGCGGGGTGTTTGATACAGATATGGGTGCAATCCACTGCACCAATGACATCAGGGAAAGCTATAAAAAAATGAGTTTCCTACTGTGACTGTGCTATGCGGAAGTAACCGTACATCCGTCTAGTTGCAAATTGTAATCCACGAGATTCGTTGTACTGTCTTTTGGTCCAATAAGTAATATCTCTGTCTTATCCGAATTTAATAGGAGAAAATTATTGGTCATCCAATCTTTTACATTTTTAACACACTCTGTTAAAAATGTAAAAGATTGGATGACCAATAATTTTTTAATTCAAGACTAACATTTCTTATCGTGCAGCAAATAGTGCCTTTGAGGTTTTCAGCATCTCCAACAGAATAAAGGAACATACCACTTGCTAAGAATCGCAGCGCTACACAGACCACCTGTGGGACAGTGAGAGCGTGGCTCCACGCTGTTCTGTGTTGTATCTTTGGACCCAGCAGCCTATAAACACAGATATTGGATGCCATCACCTGAGAATATGTACCTCTCAGTCATATATTCGTCTGAAAAAGCCAACGGGTCTGACCTGTCCCGGAAGACTCTTTCATGCCTGAATCTTTTCATGTCTGAGTATTAACACTTCCTCGTCTAGTACATCATCCAACAAAGGGCACGCCTTCGTTAAGAGGAAACACCTTAATCAGACTTAAGCCTATATATACTACATATTGACCTCGTCATGGACTTAAATGAAACCACCTTTGCAACTTCATCAGCCATTTCTTATAATCTGAACAACTGCAATAATATACAGTGGGTACGGAAAGTATTCAGACCCCCTTAAATTTTTTAGGACCATGTGTTATTTCAGTTTTTCTTTTTTAATAAATCTGCAAAAATGTCAACAATTCTGTGTTTTTCTGTCAATATGGGGTGCTGTGTGTACATTAATGAGGAAAAAAAATTAACTTAAATGATTTTAGCAAATGGCTGCAATATAACAAAGAGTGAAAAATGTAAGGGGGTCTGAATACTTTCCGTACCCACTGTATGTATTCATCAAACTCTGACAGCAATATGAACAGTCTTCATAATAACACTAAAATAGGCATACTTAGATGAATGACAGTATATCTATTTTAATGCAGGATAATTAAAATGATGCAACATTTACAGAAGACCACGGAGTGACTGTAAAACACATTAATTTCTAGTAGGATTGACAGCGGAACTAACAGATAAATCACTAGGATTAATCTTAGCATGGTTGTTAGTCTGCTTTGGAGCAGGCTAGCTGCAAAGAATAAATCTCCATAGTAACTTAATTTAGCCTGCTTTTATGCAACTGAGTCAGGGCTAAATTCAACGAGGATAACTGGAAAATCCCAGCTTAATCCCTTATCCTGCTTTTGTGCAATACCCCTCTGGCTCAGATCTTTTGTCCAGCACCGACAAACTGTGTCCAACATACCATGTTTTGAAAAGGTAAACTAAACACAATTCAATCTGTGATATGTTTGTGCTGCAAGTTCATTTCTATTTTGCAAATTGTAGTAGTTATGTTTCGAACAGACTATTTTTCTAATATAACAAGTTAATTGATTGACCTCAGTTATTTTCCTTATAAAAACCTTGACGATTGCTTATATATTATTAGATTGATGTATCGGCTAAGTTTGCACTGCTTGTGTAAAGCAGTGTTCATTTTGTCTGATTTACTTTAACTAAAACTTTGTTTTTCTATGTATTGTAGGTTGAAAGGGATGACTCTCGAAAAAGTGGTGGCTGATGAATCGTCTCCATCCACAGCCCCACCATCATCATCTGGTCCCACCATTGACAGTGAGGAAGATGTGCAGTGCTCAACCATTTCCCTGGATGACTTTGGCACTTCAGTACTGCAGAGGTCAAGCACTCCATGCAAAGCTGCTACAATTTCAATGATGCAGTCATCTCCATCTTCACCCCTTATGTGCCATGCAGCAAAAGGAGAAGGGACCGTGCAGATGATGGCATTGGACAGCTACTTACTTTCCTTGAGAAAGACAAAACAGTTCTGTCATGACAACTCTCAGAGTGATTGACATGGTAATGTACATGACAATGTTAATGTATTTGGTCTTGGCGGAATAGATCTGCTACACTGCTGCGGCAGAGCAAGTACCGAGACTTGCTACTGCCAATACATCCACAACATGCTGCTGTGAGCATGTAAGAAATATTGCTTCTGCAAATATAATAGGACTGCACGATAAATCGCATGTGATATTTAATGTGCATCTTGTCAGTAAAGCTGACAAGCTGCGCAAAACATGTGCAAAATATGATCGTGGTTTTGTGCAGCTTGTCAGTGAGCAATGGCTCTGTGTAGTAAATGCTGCTCCATGTGAAAGCACGCACGTGATGGAGATTTACCGCGGATTACAGAACCAGCTTTACTGACAAGATGCGCATTAAATAATCACATGCGATAAATCGTGCAGCCCTAAAATATAACATACATGAAATAACCCCATATAGCATACATGAATCACCTCGTAGCAGATCTATACAGGTGGAGCTGGGGAAGGTTGAGGGTTTCTGAAGCAAGCTGCAACTGCTACAGCTATCACTAGTCCTATATTTGAATGTTGTGTTGAGCAGCGAGCTCATTGGCTACCGATACAGGAGAGAACCAATCAGCTGTGCCATGTGATAATGATGTCATTAGGTCGGATTGAGTTAGTTCTGGCATGAAACTCTAGATGGCGGAGTCCGATAGGTCTCTGTATTTCAGTCATGACCACTCTCTGAGATTTCGGCATGGTAATGTACATGACAATGTTAATGTATTTGGTCTTGGCGGAATAGATCTGCTACGCTGCTGCTGCTGTGGCAGAGCAAGTACCGAGACTTGCTACTGCCAATACATTCACAACATGCTGCTGTGAGCAAGAAATATTGCTGCTGCAAATATAACATACATGAAATAACCCCCCACAAAGCAGGAGACATAGGAGGAGCAATACAAGCCAAAACAAGAACAAAACACCCCCCAACAAGCAGATCTATCGCCAAGACATATGTACTGCTGTTGCTCCGAAGAGTCATGTGAACCGCATGTATTACGATCTATGTGTGCCTGGTCTACCATGCCGACTGGCTTAATGCTAGTGGCCTATGACTATGTGAGCATTGGCTACCACGCCAACTGGCTTAACACTAGTGGCCTATAACTATGTGAGCCTTGGCTACCACGCCGACCGGTTTAACAATAGTTGTCAAAGATACAGTGCACAAAAACTTGGTTGGACTGAACTGAAATAAAAGCAGAACATAATGTTTTTTCTCTGTTTTCTGAATTACACAGCACAGCGAGAACACACGTTGCATGATTACATTTCTCCGAACTACACTACCCATAATGCATTTCACTCTGAACTAACTGTTACAGCCGTAGATAGTGAACTTCGGCATCTCCCGCAACACTGTCATTAATATGACTGCGATAAGCACGTGCTTCTGATGCTGCGTGCAGCTGAAATCAACCACACACATCTCAATCAAAATATCAACCTTAGAAATAACGAACGTGAACACTGGGATAATCGTCGATGTATATGGCGAACCCCCGTTGAAATGCATACACAAGAATGCTTATTTAATTTAACCTGTTTCATGTCCGGTACTATCGGCGTGTCCTCAGAGCGATTGCATATGCTCTAAACTGCGTTTTGCTCCAGCTTTATAAACACAGATGCTTAATGCTGCTGCTAATATGCTTAATATTCACTCCTGCGTACAATGCAAACTGCTAACATGACATTTAGTTTAAACTTGATTATGGTTGCTCATTTTTTAAATTAAATTAGGCAGACCACGCAATACACACAGCGATATGGATTAGAAGAGCATTCACTTATCTTAAGATGTTGATTTTGCTGTTCTGAAGCAAGCTGCAACTGCTACGGCTATCACTAGTAATATATTTGAATGTTGAGCAGCGTGCTCACTGGCTACCGATTCAGGAGAGAACCAATCAGCTGTGCCATGTGATAATGATGTCATTAGGTCAGATTGAGTTAGACCTATTGGACTGCACCATCTAGAGTTTCATGCCAGAACTCTGTATTTTGATAGGCATGCACAGATTGTTGCAGACTACCGCCACGGCACTGTGCCATCTTCAAAAAACGCATACAAGACATTGTTTGATATTGAGATGCAGCTACTGGATGAGCAAGGCAATGGCACAACACATTAGAGGCTGTTTATTTTTTGTTTGCTCTCTTGCGTAAAAAAATGTTGGTGTTTCAAATAAATGTTGTTACACCATACTGCTGCTGCTGTTGTCCTTTCAATAAGCAATTTTAAAAGTTGTGCAATAAATTAAATGCCAAAAGAATGTACAATAATAAACCTTTTATTTTTATCAAAATGAATCATGACACCACATAAAATATAAAAAGGTGTAGTAATTTACCCAGTTTATAATAATATAAAAAGAATAAAATAAAGTTACAAACTGTTTTGTGTTATTGAGATGACTTCAGTCATTTCTTTTTTTCACACCATGCTAAACTTTTCAAATTATGAGCCATTCACACTTCCCATAGAGGACTGATTATGGAAATGGATTTTAAAGTGATTTTAAAGTGATGGTTGTATGTGATGGTAACGAACACCTAGCTCAAACCATCTCAGAACAGACACATTGTGTGCATAGACTTTTTACTGATTTTTTTTATAGCTCGTGTTACACTTTTAAGAAGGATGCGATGTCCGTTCTTGGGGCAACACATTTATTTCTGTTAAAACAACATGAAAAACACCAGTTAAACACGGAGCGCTTTTCGTTGCGTGTACACTGACACTCATCACATACTGAATGCTACTTCTGTTCTGTTAGTCAGCTACCTTAACAGAGTATTGTAACAATAACATGTCTGATAGTGCACGTCTACGCAGATACATGGCAGTGAACACATTACTCTGTATACCACACAATTATTCAGCAATACCTGCTCTAAATCCACAAACATTGTAACAATGCTCACTCTCACAAGGTATACAGGAAAGGTAATATGAATAACATCACTAAAGTATCACAAACTCCTTTACAATGAGCACAATTAATGTATAAA